ATAATATGCTGAAATAAAAAAAAATTAAAAAAAAAAAAGAAAAGAAATAGAAATCAGCCAGGTGAATAGGACAGTAGTAGCAGGGGCACAAGGGTGAGGAATATAGTGTATAGGGAACTTTAAGCAGTTAAGGCATGATGTCAGAGAGTAGTAAGAGAGGAAGTTGAATAGGAAGGTGTGGTAGCACTATGAGGGCTCGTTATAATAAGATTATATTGCATGTACTGTGGGCAACTCTTGAAGAAATATGCCTACAGGAATGTATTCATTTGCTAGGGCTGCCATAACAAAGTACAACCGGCTGGTTGCCATAACAAAGTGCCATAACAATAGAGGTCTATTTTCTTACAGTTCTGGAGGCTAGAAGTCCAAGATCAAGATGTCAGCAGGGCTGGTTTCTTATGAGGCCTCTTTCTTTGGCTTATAGATAGCCACCTTCTCCCTGTGTCTTCGCATGGTCTTTCCTCCATGTATCTATACCCCAACCTCTGCTTTTTATAAGGATATCAGTCATATTGGATTAGGACATACTCTAGTGACCCCATTTTAATTTAGTTACTTCTTTAAAAACCTGATCTTCAAATACAGTCACATTCTGGGGTACAGGGAATTGAGACATCAACATATGAATTTGGTGGGGGGATAGGGATGTAATTCAGCCCATGACAGGGAACAGTGTGGTTAAATTTCCTTTGGTAATCATGTGAAGTATGGATTTGAAGAAGAAGAGATAGATGAACAGGTTATTGTAATAATCCAGGGGAAAATCACGTTACTCTGTAGAACAGTGCTAACAGAGGTGGAGAGAAGGACAAATTGCTGAAATGTTTAGGAAATAAAATTAGCACATGCTTAAGGTTACTTGGATATTAGAATTGAGTGGAAGAAGTCTAATCTAGGTCTCTAGATTTCTAGTTTGAATGACTCAGTAGATGGTGACATCATCAACGAAAGGAAAAAAAATCCAAAGGAGCTGGTTTAGAGAGGAAAGAATGGATTCAATTTGGGGAGATTCAATTAGAGTTACCTAGAATATATTTAGATATAAGAATCTGAAGCTCAAAGATAGATAATTGTACTAGAAGTCAAGTTTTGGGCTTCATTATTTGAAACGATGGGAGCAGATCCTCATATACTGAGCAATAAGCACAATGGACTTAAAAGGGAAAACCAACATTTATTGGACAGGCAGAGAACAAGCCCATGAAGAAGACAATAAATTGTGAGGTAAAGCAGTAAAGTCACTTTTCATGGAGTCCAAGGGAGTAGAGAGCTTTGACGAAAGGAATAATGAACAGTGAAAGAGAGCAAAGAGATCCCAAAGATAAACACTGAGAAATGTTAGTTGGATTTGGAATAAGAAGGATTTGGGGACATTAGTACCTAGCAACAATTCCTTGAGCTTTGTGTGCTGGACACTGTCATGTATAAAGCATGTCATGTATATTATATTTCATTTTGAGCTTCATTAAAGTAGACTAAGGAAAGTGTCATTATGTCCATTATACAGATCAAGAAAATCATGGCTCAAGAAAGTCAAATACCTTGCCTAAGGTCAGCCAGAGAGCAGGAGATGTGGGAGTCAGTCCTAGGTTTCTTCCTATGCCACCAGAGCAGGTGTGATAAGTGGAGGGGCTCAAAATCCAGAAGGTAGTGGGCTGATGAGTGAATGGTTGGTGAGGAAGTAAGGTAGACTGCCCTTTTTAGAAGAGGAGAAAGGAGGACAGAGACCAACTGATCTTACTCCCCATTATTTAGTATATTGCCTACACACAATAGATGCTCAATAAATTTTTAGTTCTATTAACAAGAAATAAATGTTAGCTTTTTCCAGCTATCAGGTATATATGTTAGGGGTGGAAGAGGAGGTAGAAGAGTACACACTGCCTAAGAGTAAGGAGTCAGCAGAAAGGAGAACGCTGAATGAGAAAGGAAAACTTAGGAAGCCAGATCCTTCCTAGAAGAGGTTGATTGAACCTGGTGTCAAGTGCACAAGTTAAGAATTTGACCTCAATAGATGAAGAAACACTTTCCTTGAGGCTGAATAAAAAAAAGTGAGGTATAGAAATAAATGTATAAGAATACATGGCAAGTTACTTCATCTCTCAACAATCCCTTCCATATTAAGTTCCCACATGAAAAAATATCTCACTATCTCTAGTAAGTTATTTGCTTTAAAGTTTTAACAACTTTATTCATGCAATTTCCTGTACCTAGAATTCCTTCTTTTCTTTGCATAGAAAATTCTTTTGGGAAAATAACCAGATGGCAGGTTATCTCTTAGGATTATGTCTTGAATTCTCCAAACAGATTCTATCACTCCATCCCTTTTACACCCTTACACACTCTCTCCTTATTCTGTAAAGACTTGGAGGCTGTAGATAAACACATTTCCATTTACTTATTAAGCTCCTTTGAAATACTTAAGCATATCAATAAAATATTTCAAAATTTTATAAGTTATATTTTAGATCAAAGGCATTTCAAAAGTTGATTTAGCTTGAACACAACTGCATGTACTTAGTTCAATCTTTTATACAGAAAAAAATTACATGATTTAAATTTTCTTACTGGTTAGCTAAAATTACTCTAGCAGATGACTCCATTTTTTAATAAAAACATATTCTTAATTCATTGACTTTTAATAATCTCATACTGCAAATGACGCAAAGGTTGGGAAAATTTATACAATGTATTTAAAGAATAAAATGTTGCTTGCCATTATAAAGATGTATGTATTGATCACCTTGATGTTTAAAGAAAATGATTTGTACTTGTGCCCTATCTTCAAAGCCAAATTATTTGCTGTAATACCTTAAGCTTTCAGCTGATGTTCAATTTTGGCTGGTTCAATAGTGGATGAGAGTATTGACTGCTATATTACTGTTCTGTTAGACAATTACAATTCTTGAATAATCTATATGCCCTATGAGAATGTCATATGATAAGGCAGAGAGATCTGAGACAAAACCCTAAGATTTACATTGTTTTGAGTTTGGCAGGATACAATTGTATATTTCAAAATTATCCCAAAAAATTACACAAAATGCACAATTATATGCAACTTGACCGTGAATTTGAGCTTTGTAGCATTATCCATGTGTAATTTATACAATATAGCCAGATATTTAAAATATAAAAATATATAATAATATTCTTTGTAATATTTTGCCCATGCTGTTACTTTTCTTATATGAACAAAATAAGAATGTGAACTTAATAAACATACATTGAGAGAGTTAAGATAATCATGTGAAATTGCTATTTCAATCTGTAGATAAACACATCTTCTAATTGACTAATATTGCATCCAAAAATGAATAAATAAAACCAAACTTCTAGCAAAATCTATGAGACAGAATATCTTCACAAAGAATCTGTTTATGTATTGCCTGCCAATTAAACGTGAAGATGGGTAATTTTTGTTTAAATAGTCTATGTGCTTTTCCAGTGTACCTATTGTATGCATAGAATTGTTTAACTTCCAGAGCATTTGCCAAGTTCTTCTAATGTAATTAATAATCATATGGATGTGAGGACTATACTCCTTGCCTTTTATTGTAAAAATGCTTTAAGATTAATGTGCACTAATCTCAGTTGTATGCAAAAATATTGTAATGAAATATTATATTTTCATTTTTTAATTGAAAATATAAAATTCTCTTTAGATGGAGCAAAGAGAAATTTCTGATGCAGCTAGGGAAGGTATTCAATCATCATTTAATATTATGTATATCCATAATAACATTTATTTGAGAAACCATAAGTCACTTTGTGTTTTGCTATTTAAGCACATACAATTTTTAAATTATTATATGTTAGTAAAATTGTAGCATTTCATTAATTTGAATAAAATATAGTACATAAAAATTGTAAACAAAATATGTATGAGTCTTTAACTGAAATATGTGATTGGTGGTTTTCTAGAAAAAGTGGAGAGAAAATTAGAGTAATAGCGTGATTAATTGATTCAGGATGGCTCCTACTGAAAAATTATGTTCAATAAGAATCTGTCATGACTTGTGATCATTTGTCACTCTCCAGTATATCAAATATAATGGATTCAGGTGCACAAGCTGTAAAAGTGACTGTTATAAAAATGCCAATTTTTTAAAGAAGAAAGATGGTTACTTAACTGATTTAATTCCAAATAGCGACAGTATATTAATTTGGGTTACTGCTGTGTTTCTAGAGATGATAAATATTTTTATAAATGATTTTGTTCTCATATATGCATTTATCATTTTGCATTCAAGCCAATGACTGTTTTAAAAAAATTTTTTCATGATACAAATTACACATATTTTTACTAAAACATAGAGATTCCTGGCAAAAGTTGCAGTTTAAATACTTAATAGAAAAGAAATGGGAAGAACAGTTCTTTGTTTACAACCCAAAACATTCTTTCAATTGAAATTCTTTTAATATAATGAAATGTCTTCTTCTACAATATGTCCACTTACATATACATTTCTCACTGGTGTCTTTCAGTGATGTTTTCTCATGTAACAGCTTTTTTCAAATACTATAGAGATTAAACTCAATTATTTTACCTATGATGGAAGCTGCTACACCGAAGAAGAAAATTTCGTAGAATAGGAGAAGTTCATAAAGTTTGTCATTTTCATAGAGAGAAAGGGACATTGAAACTCATGGTAAAATATCAGTGGGTCCATTTCAATGCTGCCTTTAACAGTATGTATCAATAGCACTTGTTATTGTAGAGAGTTATTTTAAATGAGTAGAAGTAACCTTGGAAGTGATAGTTTCATCAAGTTATCTACATAAAACAGCTTATCACTTGGTGATCATCATATGAAAGTTTTGTTTGCTCCTTTTGGGAGGTATGCATGTTTTTTGTCATGTGGTTCAATTCCACTATGAGTTTAATTTTCTGTTTCTATTTTATCTGACATTGTTCCTAATTCTAGAACTGTGCCTCTTTACAAAAATCTTGTTTAAAATCTATTACTGTGGAATTACATTAAAACAAGTAAACTTTCTCCCTCCCTGTACTCTAAACCAATTGGTAATTATTTTAGTCACCTTCTGCATTAGGAGTTCCATCTTTTGGGCATTGAAATTGATTTTTCTCATCTTAGCATCTGAAGATCCAGAGTGTGCCCCTTGCCCAATCGCCTGAGACTATACAGTGACACCTACAACAGAGGATGTGGAGGCAGCCGCTTTTCGGGCACCAGAAATGGCAGCATCAGGAGCATCAGCACGAATAGACTTTGTAGAGGTAGTTCTCCCAAACTATATTACGAAACCAAACATTTTTGGTGTGCTACCTGCTGATGGGGGCTGCCTTCTCACTGCCTAGCGTATACAAAATGTTTGGTCTTTGTTAAAGTTTAACAATGACATTTCTGATTAATATAAAGAGAACTGATTTTTTCCAAGAGTTTTCAGTTGCCATAGCTTTCAATGAATATGAAATTTTTATCAGTCTCAGAAAAACATTAATACCCATATTTTTATCAAATTGATTTTACTATTTGTATGTAAAGCTGCTGTTGCACATAATTTTTGTATAAGCATTTTTAAATAGATCAAAATAAGCCATCATTTAAAAGTCATCTTAATGTAGTAAATAGGAGAATTTCTCTAGTTGATTAAATTCTTCAGAGA